ATAACATATTACACAGAACTAGAACAAATATTTCAAAAATTTATGTGTAACCACAAAAGGCCCTGAATAGCAACAAAGTTAGAGGAATCATGCTACCTACACTATAAGGCCATGATAATCAAAATAGCATGGCACTGGCATAAAAAGAGACACATAGATCAATGGAACAGAATCAAGAGACCAGAAATAAACCTACACCTTTATAGTTAACATTTGACAGAAGAAGCAAGCACATACAAGAGGTTAAAGATAATTTATTCAACAAGTTGTGTTGGAAAAATTGGACAGATATGTGCAGAAAAATGAAACTAGACCACCTTATTACATCACACACAAAAAGCAACTCAAAATGATATAAATACTTAAATATCAGACCTGGAACCTAAAAATTTCAGATGTTTCACCAGCATTACTACCCATGTTTTAAAAAGCAGCAACACATACTGCGCCCTTTCTAAAAAACCCCGTTAGCACACCTCATCGAAGAATTGGTCTCTAGTCTTGTGAAGGAATCAAAATCCTACCTCCTTCCCTAAGAGTGAATAAATCATTCAGGGAAAAAAAAAAGTGTTTTCACTAAATCACAGATTAAGTTTATAAATCTGGCTTCACCCAGAATACACTTAAACTACATATAATACTACTCTGTAACTGTGCTCAAGGTTAACTGGGATTCCTCTTGTGTCCTCCTCTGAATTTGACTTATTGGACCTCTTTTCTCTTTGGAAGTTCATGTGAAACAGTGAGTCAGTGTAATTACCTTTCTGCCTTCAGCTATGCAGCCATTGAAAATGTTTCTAGAGACACTGCTTCACATGCTGTGATTTTCATCACTCTTTTGGTGCTTCAAGAGGAGTGCTCCCTGGCATAAAAGGAAAGTGATTTATACATAAAGCCATAAAACTTTCCCCTAAAAGAAATAATACAGCTTTGTTTGTTCTAAAAAGAAGAATAGCAAAGAGGAAGGGAGGGAAGATAGGAGGGAGAATGTCTTTATGTAACCTTCCTTTCTTAAGGATATTTACAGTGGATATAGAATTCTGGGTTGACAGTTCTTTTCTTTCAGCCCTTTAAATATATTGCACTCATTCACTCTAGGCTGTGTAGTTAATAAAAAAAAAAGGAAAATCTGCAGTGAGTTGTGTCAGTGTTCCATCATAGCTCCCCATAATTTTTCTTGGAGTAGTTTCAAAAATTTTATCTTCAGTTTTCACCTGTAAGATTTTGATGTGTTTGGCCATGGGTGTAGAGGGGTTTATCCTATTTGTGGTTCTCAGTTGTTCTTTGGTTTTTTTTTCTACTAAATTTTGAAGGTTTTCAACATATATTGTTTATCTTTACCTTCTGGGAATGCAGTAACATAAATATTAGACTTTTTGTTTCTGTCCCACAGGTCCCTGAAGATCTGTTCTTTTAACTTTTTGTAAGGGAATTATTTTTTCTCTCTGTGGTTTGGATTGAATAATTTCTTGTTATTTATTTTCAAGTTTTTGGACTGTTTCCTCTGTTGTTTCCATTGTGCTCTTGAGCTCACTTAGTGAAGTTTTTTTTCTTTTTCTTTTTTATTTTGTGGTATTTTCCTGTTCTAATATTTCCATTTGGTTCTTCATATCTAGTCTTTCTTTGCTGAATGTTTCTACTTTTCCATTTAATTCTTTTAAAAATATTTTTAATTATAGTTGACATATAATATTAGTTTCAGGTGTATAGCAGTTTGCTCCAACATTTATACACCTTACAATGTAACCACCATAATGTTTTTTAATCACCTGTCACTGTACACAGTTCCTAACAATTCATGGGGATGTACTATACAGCATAGGGAATACAGCATATTGTTTATTTTGTAAATTGAATTTGTACTGCTTAATCTCTTTCCCCTTTATTGCCCAACAGCCCACCACCTCATTGCTAAGAACCATCAGTTCTGTGTATCTATGAGTTTGCCTCTGTTTCCTTTTATTTGTTTTGTATTTCAGATTCTGCATATTAAGGAAACCATAAGATATGTGCTTTCTCTGTTCACACTTATTTCACCTACCATGATACCCTCTGTTTTATTGTTCTGTATGATTGATATTGTTTTCCATAATGGTTGCACCAATCTTCAGTTTCACCAAGAGTGCACGAAGATTACCTTTTCTCAGCATCCTCACCAACAATTGTTTGTTGATTTATTGATGGTAGTCATTCTGACAAGTGTGAGGTAGTATCTCATTGTGGTTTTGATTTTCATTCCTCTGCTGATTAGTGATTTGAGAAACTTTTCATATGTCTATTGGCCATCTTTGAAGAAGTGTATATTCAGGTCTTCTGTCCACTTTTTAATTGGGTTGTTTGTATTTCTGTGTTAAGTTGTCTGAGTTTCTTATAAATTTTGGATATTAACCCCTTATCATATGTATCACTAGAAATATTATCTCCTACTCAGTAATTTGTCTTTTTGTTTTGTTGATGATTCCCTTAGCTGTGTAAAAACTTTTTAGTTTGATGTAGTCCCCTTTGTTTATTTTTTTCTCTTGCATGAGCATATATATCAAAGAAATATTGCTAAGAGAAAAGTTCGAGATTTTACTGCCTATGTTTTATTTTAAAAGTTTTATAGTTTCAAGTCTTACATTTAAGTCTTTAATCCATTTTGAGTTTATTTTTGTATATGTTGTAATAATGTTGTCACTTTCATTTTTTGCATATATCTGTCCAGTTTTTCCAACACCATTTATTGAATAGACTGTCTTTACCTCAATATATGTTCTTTCCTCCTTTATCAAATTTTAACTGATTTTATAGGTTTATTTCTTGACTCTCTATTCTGTTCCATTGATACATGTGTCTGTTTTTATTTTAATACCATGCTCTGTTGATTTCTATGGTCTTGTTTAATGTCAGGTAGTGTAATACCTTCAAGTTTGTTTTTCTTTCTCAAGATTTCTGAAGCTATTTAGGTTATTTTGTGGTTCCATATAAATTTTTGTGTTATTTGTTTTAGTTCTATGAAATACACCATTGCTATTTTGGTAGGTATTATGCTACATCTTTGGATATGTTTGGATAATATGGACATTTTAATGATTATTAATTCTTTCTATCCATGAACATAGTATATGCCTCCATTTATTTGTATTTTCTTCAGTTTCTTTCTTCAATGTCTTATAATTTTCTGAGTGTATACCTTTTTTCTTCTTCCTTAAATTAATTTCTAGGTATGCACTTAATTTTTGATGCAATTAGATAGGATGCTTTCTTAGTTTCCCTTTATGATAGTTCATTATTGGTATATAAAAATGCAATAGATTTCTGAATATTTATTTTGTATCCTGATACCTTACTGAATGCATTTATTAGCTCTAGTATATTTTTTGGTGGAATCTTTAGGGTTCTCTATATACAGTATTATGTTATCTGCAAACAATAACAGTTCTACTTGTTTCTTTGCAATTTGGATTCCTTTTATTTCTTCTTGTCTAATTGCTGTGGGTAGACTGGCAGCATTATGCTCAATAAGACGGGTGAAAGTGGACATTTCTGTTTTCTTCCTTATCTTAAGGAAAAGCACTTTTAGTTTTTCCCATTGGGTATGATGTTGGCTATGGGTTTACCATATTTGGCCTTTATTATGTTTAGGTATGTTCCCTCTAATCCCTCCTTGCTGAGACTTTATATCATAGATGGGTGCTGGATTTTGTCAAATGCTTTTCTTTCTGCATTTATTGATATGGTCATGTGATTTTTTATATTTCATTTTGTTAATGTGGTGTATCATGTTTATTGATTTGTACATATTGTACCCACCTTGCATCCCAAGAATAAATTCCTCTTGATCATGACGTATGATATTTTTAATGTATTGCCGAAGTCAGTTGGTAGCATTTTGTTGAGGATTTTTGCATGTATATTCATGAGAGATATTGGCCTATAAGTTTCCTTTTTTTTTTTTTTTTTGTAGTGTCCTTATCTGGTCTTGAAATTAGGATAATATTGGTGTTATAAAATGAGCTTGGGAGACTTCCATTCTCCTGGTATTTTTGGAACAGTTTGAGTCACTTCTCTCTCCCTTGTAAGATGATTAATGGATTGATTCAATTTAAACTGTGGGAAACAAATGAAACCATTAGTTGTTTATATTTAAAGCAAATACTTTAATAGAGGTAGTGAAGTTTTCTGTAGGCTACATGCCTTGACCCTAGTCTATAAATGCTCCTTCCGACTTTCCAACACAACTGCCAAACTCTGCCTCTGCACATTCTTTTTAAAACATCCATTCCAAACTCACTAGGTATTTCTATTATGGTCTTGTTAAAATTGTAGTATATCCAGTGGATCTTGGAAGATATTTTTCTTTTGTTTATTAAGGAGGAGCAAAAGAGGAAGTACATAAAGCATTTTTATTTGTTATTTCTTTAGGGAGAGATGTAAAGAAAAATAGTGACAGGTATATTATAAGAATATCTTTTAATTGGAGATTGCTTTAATGGTGAGTACTTAGGGCAAAAGCATGTACTTTCCACTTATTTTAGTCCTTTATACAACATCCTGGATAGGACTAGTTTGACTGATAATGTTATTTATTTACATGTGGAACAAACAAATAAATAAATATACCTGCAAGTTATATGTTGATTAGGGGTTTTCTATAAGTGCAGACAGACACTTATGATATTGGTTCTCAAAATTAGGTCAGTTTATTTAATTTGTATTTCCTTACTCCTTCTAAACAAGACTTATTCTGGGGGTCTGATAACCCCTTTTCTGTGCTCCTATATGTGCACATGCTTAAAATGTAGTAAAAACTTATAAATGATGACTTACGGCATCAGCCATCCAAATTGCATGATTCTTCACTCCAGTTCCCTTTCTTTTTTATATTTCTTGTTGACAAAAATGTAAGGACCAGAAAGGTATGGTCTTGGGGAAGGAATGGTAGGCTTTGAACACTAGTATCCACAGTCAGGTACACAAAAACTTGTGATATATACATTAAAAATATTTTTCCTTTTTAGATCTTGAACTTGCCTGAATTGATTGACGACTGCAAGTATAAAACTAACCACCTTCGGGTACAGAATAGAAAAGAACTTATTAAAATACTTTCTGCACGGTAAGCTTGGAACTATTTGTACATTTAAGAATTATGTCATTAGCATTTCTCTGGTGTTTTGTGGTGTTCTTCTTGGCTTATTTAGATGAAGTTGAAATTTTTTTCCATTTCACAAAATTGGTTGGTAGAAACTAATTTTAAAGTTAAGTGCTTTCTTTACTTGAGTGCTTTTGAAAGCATTTTATTTCTTCTTAAGTGCTGAGACAATGATATAAAAAGAAAGTCAGAATGTATTGATTGTTTGTGGCATGTTATTTGGAGTTAGAATATCATAAATGCCAAGAACAATAACTGTAATAATTTAATGATATTTTTTACCTTTCCTGTCTTAAATACTCTACATACCTGATCTTTTTTAACTCTTACAATCTTAAACCTCTCTTTAACCTTACAGTTATCCTGTGAGATAAGTTTTATTATCCCCCTTTTAACAGATAAGGAAACTGAGACAAAAGGAGATTAAGTCCAGTGTGTTGGCCTTTTTGAGCCCCTTCTGTGAAGTTCATTGTGATGTTTTGAAAATGCCAGATTGAGTTATGGGTCACAGAGAATTAAAGGAAATCAGTTAGAATATTTAGTTTCCAAATTATTCCATTCACATCAGGTTATGCTTTGTTAAAACCTGTAGCAATTTATCACGTTTGCCTCAGAAAAAAGTAGTAATTCTTAATTATTAAAATCAGTTTCACTTGTTTATTTCTACATTTCTAAATCTATAAAATGTACTTTGCGGTTTTTGAAGATCTAGATGCCTACTTGAGCTATTCTTCGGTATGGAACATTGGCTCTCATTATGCCAATAAATTATGTGCTGTTGTTCAAGTACCATATCTTGTTCTTTGAAAAGGCACTTGTGTTTCTATGTATTATATATATAAAAATAAAATCATACTAATGTAATTTTTATATCTGTTTTCTTTATATTTGGGACTCTTACATGAGTCAACATTCATTACTTTTATCTTTCCTGGATTTTAAGCCCTTCTTCTGAACACTGCCTGTATCACCTTCATGTGTCAAAAACTTTTCAATCAATGGGAGCTCTGTGTGTGGGACTGATATGCAGAGAATAGAGGACTGAGAATTGGGCTCCATTTTCCTGGTCATTAGGTATATGTAACTCTGATTCTACTGCAAAGCCTAAGAGCCCTCAATCATTAACCTTTCTCCACATGAGAATTAGCAATTTATTTCTGCCTTTTGACTCTGCCTTTCAAGCAGTTTTTAATCTATTTAATTCATTGATATGACTTTTTCCTTTCACACCATGGTTACCAAGTTTCAATAATAGGCTCTTGTGAGAACCATATAAAAGCTCTTTGATAGTCTAAATAAATCATATCCTTTCTGTGAGAAGAGTGGACCCCGCATAAAAATATAAAAACTAGACTTTTACAAGTGTCATCTTGTTATTCATTTGCTAGTACTTTTATAACTTCAAAAACCTCAAAATTAAGTTATTGGTTTCCTAAGTCCTAAAACTTTTATTCCTTGATAAATTCTGTTATAGAATCCTGTTGTGAAACGACTTTTAGCAGCACTTGTAAGAGATTAATTTCTTTTTTCTATTTGGGGTGTATTAAATAATGTCACCTTCTTTTTCCTACTCCTATACACAGAAGCAGAATTTCAGCATTTTGGGACATATAAAGGTATTATGTGTTTATTTACACTGTAGAATAAGGAATCAAAACGAGAGTGTAGGGACTATCCTTAAGAGAGGGAATTTAATAGAGGTCACATCATCATATGTGCTACTCAAAACACAGAAAGAGCCCTTGTTGCTCAAAGGACAGTTTTCATGCTTTCTTTTGCTAGTATGTTGACATTTTTCGGTGCTCTCTTGTGGTATGCAGTTCTTCAGCCTTATCCAGCTCACATCTCTTCTCCCATGTGGTGAATCAAATAGTAATAACCAGGGAAGATTAAGATATGATTCATTGCCATTTATAACATTGTCATTTGTTTTTTCCTGAAAAAATGTCAATGGGTTCATTAGTACTGTCTGCTGCTCAGCTTTCAGAAGTCTTTGGGATTGTTTTGAACTTTTATGATTCTGTGTTTTTCTAATATTCAAATTGTTAAGTGGCTCTCTGGATTTCTATTAATTGTAGTACTAAATCTTGTCTTTTTAGTCAGATACTGTGGTCTTCTACAACCTGACATGACCTTTCCTATTCCTCTTTTCTCAATGTAAGGTGCTTACCCTAGTCACACTTCCAATAGGTTTCTCTTATTCTCTCTCAGAAGTGTTTCCCAGACACCATTATTCAGAAACAGTCATGAAATTATCATCAAATATCTCTATTAGGGTTCCCAGTCAGATGATGGCAACTTTAGAAGAGAAGGTGTCCCTTTGTGCCTTGTACCAGCCTATCAGTTATTGAACACAAATAAAATCCACAGGAATTATTTTGGAGAATGAGATTGTTAAAGATCTTGCTCTACACATCGTTTCTTTTATTTCACAGCAATCATAGACACGTTAGCTCCCAACCACAAAAAGGAGGTAGGTTAAAAAGAAGGGGAGAAACCAGCATTTACTTGATGCCAAGTGCTTACCAAAAAAGTGTTATTAGTTTTCCCACTTTACAGATAAAATTCTGAAGCGTAGGGAGGTTTGTGTCAAGTTTAGACCCACAGTGAATACTTAGTTAAAAATGGGATTCAAAAAGCTGTACCTTTTTCACATATCATATTGTCTCCCTGAAGTGGTAAATGAAACAATGTAACTTGGTGAAAAATAATGCACTGAAGGAAAATGAGGAGTACTACAAGTTGGGTGTGAGGTTGGCTATTATATTTTGACTGGTCAGAGCCTCTCTGATAAAGTCATATTTGTGCGGACTCTTGAAGGAGATGAGATAGGGAGACCAGCAGAAATCTTGGAGGGGCTTTCTAGGCAGCAGGTACATGGTTGGGAATTTAAAGAGTAGCAAAGGGGACATTGTGCCTGGAGCTCAGTGATCAAGGAGGGTAGGTGGGTCCAGACACAGAGTGACGGAGGTGGCAGGCAAATCATATTGCAAAAGTTATGACTTTATGATAAAGTAGTTTCTTAAACTTATGAAATAAAGGAATTACTTTTGGTCATAAAATTAGTTTGCTTATCAGCATGTTGTATGTTAAATACTCAGAACTTACTCATCTTGCAACTGGAAGTTTCCTTTTTACAAGATTTTATTTTTAGAGGGAGGGGAATGGAGGGAGAATTAGAGGAGAGAAACATTGATATATGAGAGAAACATTGATCGGTTGCCTCTCACAAGGGCCCCAACTGGGGACTGAACGTACCACTCAGGCATGTGCTCTGACTGGGAATCAAACTAGCGACCTTTCACTTTGTAGGATGATGCCCAACCAATTGAGCCGTGCTCAGCAGAGTTATAACTGCAAGTTTTTACATTTTTGATACCTTCACTCATTTCTCCCACCCTAAAGAGATGTTCTTTAAGGGAATACTATACCTGGTAGAGTTCAGTATAACAGCAACTCAGAGAGAGCAAAACCTTCATCAGCTGAAGAGACTTGAGGGACTCAAGAAATTCAGTGGTATATGCTTCTCATTCATTCATTCTCTCACTCATTTATTAACAGTTATTTACTGAACACCTACTGTGTGCCAATGACTCTTTTGAGCACTGGAACGCAGTATTAAAAATTAAAAAAACAAAAGCTTTGCCCTACTGGACTTCCCTTAGAGAAACCCTTGCTAAACTTTCTAGGAGACTTTTTAAAAATAATTTTAAGAATTCTTTCATAGAAACATTTGTTGTGATATGTCTAAGTAGTTAGCTTTCCATATTTTTCATACAACCTGTTTAAATTTTGCTTTACTAAAGTATTGCACTTAAAGACTACCTATAAATAATTTATTGTCTTTTTGTCTTTTTTTGAACATGTTCATGTACACACTGCAATGTTGTTCAGTGTGGTTTCCCAATCATTTCTATAGTAAAAGCAGTATTTTGGTAACAAAGGCTACATTACCATGCGAGTATGTCATGCTTTTCCTGTTGTCTGCTATTAAACATTACATTATAAATACTTTCCTCTGATATTTATATCTTGGCCTACATTTTTATTCTATAAAGTTGTTAAAATATGTGTAACTGTACAAGGAGCTGTGAGAGTGAATTTGAACTGCAGACAGTTTTTAAAAAAATTCTAGGAATGATGGACTCAGTGTTTATTTTTTTAATAAGTCTTTCATCCAATTTGATATCCAAAAGTAAAAACAGAAGCATTAAAGATTTTTACAAAGTATGCGCTCCTAAATATGCCTAAAATTTTCCTTTCCTGTTTCAAACTCTTCATTCCAAAACATGTTTTTTCTGAATCAGTATTGATTAATTTCTTTAGTAATTTTCCAAGATTATTTCCCTTGTCTACAGCAAGCTGTTATTTAAATTTTTTTAGCATCAGATGATTCCTGTTGTGTTCTCCTATGAAATTCAAAGAATCTTTTGAAAGTACTTACTACAAATGTCAGTCACTTATCTCACTTTTCTGTTCTTCTTAAATACAGTTCGATTTTGCTCTCTGGGAGCAGTTAGCCGCATTCAGAGGAAAGCAGCTGCAGACTTTTGTCATCATCTGAGTTTTCCTTTCACAGCCAGCACAGGCACAATTCTCCTCAAGTGCTGTCAGGAGTTACTATTCCCCACTGTTCAGTGAGCTAGTTTTGTTTGTTTGTTTGTCTTGTTTTATTTTTAAATTAAAGACGACTTTCCCCTTGAGCTTGTCATTTTATCCACAGTGTTGCAGAAAGTTTGTTTACCCAGCTGTTGATCTTGAAAACTAGGGAAAGCTAAAACATGTTAAAAGTTCCCAGCTAAAACACAGAAGAAGAGAGATAATAGAGGCTAATCCAAATTCTGTTAAATCAAACTCCGTTTGCAATGCTAAGGAACAACAAACTTCTGAACCTGAGCTACTCACACAATGAATTAGCTCTTTATGCAATAGTTAGAAGCTCAAGAGAAAGATGAAAATCATGA